TGTGTATCGTCCTTATTAGTAAATTGCTTGGAAACAATTTGGTTGTTGCTAACTTCGGTTTTTTTGTACCAGTTTTTGTTTATATTTGCCTTCTGAAGGGGTGCATAAATCTGGCTTCTGAATTGGTGCATATATACGCCCTCTAAATTGGTACAAATATACGCGCTCTGTGGTGCTTTCTCACACTAACGTTCTCCAGATCTGCACGGGGTTGTAGTTATATTCACTTGACTAATTTATTCTTTTCGTGTTTTTCTTGTCATGTAGGCTGGTGTTTTCGCCGAGCAAGTCTTCGAGATGAGTGCAGATAACTTCTACGACAATTACAACAAAGGGGTAAGTATCTGATATAGCCGAATAGTACTGTGTTTTTCAATTCAAGATGTATCCACTATTGTTTTTCCAGCGAGTGTGCACATAGTTTTCGTTCGTGTGAAGGTAGGTACAGATTGTATCTTATATGTATGCATCAAATAAACGTAAACGCAATTATGGTAGTATTTGAGATGCGGTTATCGGGGTTTCCGTGAAAGCTGCACCATTTATACAGAGCGCCGACTGATATTGATTTTTTAATCATCTCAATTTAATTATAGAAACTGTGGAAGCACATTGGCCCCGCCATTGAGGCGAATGAAGCCAATTAGATGGGTCCTCGCGAATGGGGTTTATGTACAGCTTGGCATGATCGCTGGCGTAGGCGCTGGTGTGGTATAGATAGCTTTGTAGTACATACAACCGCAACGGATTGGCTGTGTATGCTGCGCTGAAGTTCGACTGAAAACTACGAAGCCGATTGGCTGACATGGAGATAAGACATTACACCAGTGGACCTCCAAGCGAATAAACAAGAGTTGTGTTTGCTAGCACTATAGTCGTGTTTCTCCGATTTTGCCCACGGCATAGGGTGTGTGCACTCACTTAGGCTCATATGGATTCTTCATAGTTAATTCGCCGTTGTGTATGCCGTCCACGTGCGTTTTTTGCAGCTCCAATGTTTCGCTCCATTCACTTGCGAACAGTTCTAGCTCCTTATCTATTCGCGTTGTCGTTACCGTGTTACCTAATTAACATGTCTGGTGGATGATATTCTTGGTTGCAATGTTGATATATAGAGTATTTCGGCTAGCATATATATGCGGACACTGAAGCTGTGATGTTCCTAGTCTTCCCTTCTGTCTCCGTTTCCATCTGCCGCCATGTGTTGTCTTCCGAGTATACGCACTACAATTTTTATTGCTCTACTGCACACTGCGCCTCTACCTTTTTTTAGATCATTGTAGGATCGTCTCTGGCCCTGAATATCGCTCGAGCTTCATGGTGAAAAATATGGTGCTGCATATATGTGGCAGGCACTGCAAAAAGGCACCCAGATATCTGAAAGCTCTTCATTTGGATTGTAATTTTGGACTTTGAGGGTTTATCGCAGCCGTGAGTGACGGGGTCGTGGAATAAGCAGAGACTCGGGGTACTTGTAGGCACCTTATATTAAACTCTAGTTGTTGGGTCGTTAACGGGGTATCGAGCTCTACACTATGTCATGTAATGGTATAAAAATGTCGGTCGAGCCTGGAACAGAGATCAGTACAGTGTATAGCCGGTTAAGCACGATGTTTATGGATAGCGACAGATCTATACAAGCTGAACACTTCGCTTCTACAGTATATCAGTATACTTCAGATTGGGCCAGAAGAGCTTAATCCTTTAGCAGGGCAGGCCTAAGCGATCGTGCAATGTAAAGTCCAGAGATGCAGAAATATGTCGGAATGTCCTTGTACATAGCTTATTGTTTGGACGAGTAATTGTGTACAGTTTTGAATATTTTCAACTTTAGTTTTTCTAAAAAAAACATCACCCTGATCGCGTTTGCCGTGATTATTTATTGAGACCCTGCCGGTCTGCCCCTTGCCACTCGGCCCCGCTCCCCCAGAGTTTGCCAGACTGCCACCCTCTTGTGTCCGACTCTTGCCCGTTGCCATTGTCCACTTGTTGTGTGTAAATAAATACATAGTCACGACTCACGGGTCGTGTAGAGTATTTAGCTGTAGCCAGTGCCCCGTGGCCGTAGGGCGTAGCCGTGTAGGCCAGTTGCCGTATGTTAATTTTATTGATCTCATAAATAATAATAACCTTCTGAAATCAAACAATTTTATATATATACTTTCCCATGTACCCGCATGTTTTTAAAATATTGTTGTTTTGTACTTTATATTTACGGTGTGGCAAGTTAATTAGCTACAGCAACACAAACACACTGTCAGTCTGTCACACTCACACGTCACGATGCATACACAACACAACAAAACTTGACAAGACTTTTTACTTTTTACTTTTTACTTTTTACTATTTAGCACAAGAAGAGGGAACATCAGATGATCAGGGGTGCTGGTGAACATGGCTCAAAATCGAGTTCACTGTACTTACCGCGCGAGTCAACAACAATAAATACAATACATGTATTTTTATTGCGTACTCTCGATTTAAACTAATCGAGCTATTTAAAGAAACATATAACTCATTTTTAAATAGATAAATCATTTTGTTTCCTTCGGACAATAGTCCGTTCACTGCGATCAGGGCGGTCAGGGCTGTCAGGCTAGTATGTATTTAAAATATAGCGAGGCTGTGAGGCTACGAATGCGAGGCCCTACTCCAGAGGGCCCAGGACCAGGGGGGCCCGGGGCGGAATTAATTATTCTTTATGTTTTGTTTTTAAAAAAACAACAAACAAACAACAAAAATGAATGTATAAAAAAATTGGCACCCACAGTCAAAATAAATATGTATTTTAAAAAATATTTACATAAAATATCGAGTTATATTTTTGCAGAAAATAAACCCCCATATGGAAAAAAACCCCATAAAAACAGTCCTGATTGTCGCACAGACGAGCACTATCAAAAACTCAAAATTTAGGGTTCTGGTTTTTCTTAAAGAAACAACATAGCCTCCTAAATTGAACACAAAAACTCGTGTGCTTTACTTTTTTTCTCAGAATGTAATCGCTTTTCAGTCAGAAGTCACTCAGAACTTTAGCAACAGAATCAGAACTCTACTCTCTAGTAGTAGTATTTAGTATTTAGAGATTGAATATGACCAATGAATCACTCATATACAGTACGATATAACTCGAAAACAAATCCAATAAATTTAGGCTCCGAATGTTTAAAAAAAGTTAAATATGACAGTGTTTTTAACAGTTAACGAGTATAAATAAACAGCTGCGAGTACTATTTAGAAAAAAGGGCCGCACTCTCTACATGGTAACTAAATAGTAAATAATTTTATATAGTTGTCACGACGGCCAACTCAGTTAAGTGTCAAGAACTCATGAATCCGTGATTCATCCAAACGATCCGAACCGCGAACGTATGAAGTTAAAAAAATGTTGTACTTATATACATAAACAAAGCATGTTTTTTAAAACTAAGTCAAAAACATGCCGATCTCGATATCCAGGCTTCAGAACTAATCCTAGCAGTCATCGTACGACCGCGTTCTATATCGCGGATAATCGGGTGCTCCTAATAGTCAGTAGATATTTGCTTCATTTGAAAATATGATTATACATGCCACATTCATGCAAGTTGTACTGGTCGCAGTGTTGTTTATAGCACGCACACACGCAGCGCTGTGCTCAGAAGTGCAGAATAACGACAGCTACACATGCGATATTACACACGAATTCAATCCTGCGGCCAGCGGAAATGAAGTAGACAGTCCCGCGTCGTACAATAGCGTATGTTGTAAATTAGACGGGTGCAAGAAGTCTACAGATGGAGTGATACTAACTGTATATCGTAGCTGCCCATCCGGGAACTCTACAACCATTGGTGGTTTACAATGTCCCCAGCTGTCATGCGATGCTGGACTCACTTGTCCGTGTGGGCGAGTAAAAGACGACAGTGATTGTGATACTTGTGAATGCTTATCAGATCCGAACTCGTGCGGGCCTGAGCCAGTATGTACAGAGCTTTGTTGGCTTGGATCCGTACCGGACGAGAGGGGATGTCCCACGTGCAATTGTAGGACAGAATTTTGCCCGTTTATTTGTGCAATTGCTTGTGAGTATGGTAACGTGAAGGATGCGAACGGGTGCGATATGTGCGCCTGTATAGAAGACAATCCCTGCGATGAACCTAATGTATGTCCGACTGGTGTGGCATGCGAGGTGGATATAAGCAACGGGCGAGCGAAGTGTCTGTGCGGTTGATATATATCTATCGGTCCCATGGTAATGAGGTGGAACGTATTTGCCGGACTTACAATTTCAGACCTTACGAACAACCCATACTATCAGCTTATTACTATTGATACATACAAGTACGCATACTGAGCGCGGAACAAATTACATGGGGTCAATTATGTAGTACAGACTGTAAGAAATACTGGTATGATCTCTTCGCTTACGTGTAAGAAAGCACATGCGATGGGTATAGAGGGCGAGCAAAGGTCTTTCCGGCTGCTATCCTTGAGTTCTTCAAGTTATACGGGGCTGTTACTCGAGGCAGTGATATTAAACGTATTGACAGTGCCCGGAGAACCAATCGATATACGCTATTCGTCAAAATAGCACCAATCACGCTTAGATGCACACACCAAGGAACACACAGCGTGCCAATGAAATATCAATTGAGTAAATCAGTCCGTGAGACAAAAACGTGTGAGAAATGAGTATGTATATGCAAGTCAGCCACCGAGGAGGTGAGGTTCGAGGCGAGCAATTTACTCTTTGATTGGTATGTCAATTTGCATTTTGTTTACACCCTTGCGTTGATTTTTACCGCGACTCTGAATTTAATTAAAGTGGTATTGATCGCAATGCTCCTATCTATGCTGTATACTCGCATCTTGTCAATTGAGCATATGTATATACAAAAATGCGCATTATATTGGAGTATTATAGTCCAGTCCAGTGATATCATGAAGCTGTACACTTCACGAATGTGACTCGTACTTGACTGCATCAATTGGCACTTTCCGTTGAAGTGTACTCGAGGTGAGCGAATCCAACGATACCTAAGTTGTATCGAATTTATTTAATTAGTGAATTCAAATGTGGATGCTTTACATTAGTGTATGCCGAGGCAATAACAGTATTTATTTTCGTGACATCAATTACTTTATAGATTATGTTTTCAGTTATACGGCGTGGAACTAACTGATGATTTACCTTCGAGACCCATGCAGGCGTCTGCGGCGGGTAGAATATCCATTTTGGGCTTTGAGTTGAGAGATAAAGTACAGTGTTGATCTGTTAATATGAAGCCCTGCGCAAAGTTGACTAATTGTTGCATACTCCAGGTGCACCTCGTATCGATATATTTTCTACAGTATCGCTTTAGGAGTTTGAGTGCTGTTTCAAAGAACAATGTACGCTTTTTACAAGAATTAGCTCGTTGCTAAATGAATATATAGGTGGCTGCTTCTATCTGAACACCTAACGCCCTGAAGCATTAGCGGAAGCTTGAATCGTATATATATATATATATATGTATACACACACACACCTATATATATATATACACACACATATATATATATACATACATATATGTATACACATATATGGTATATACATACATATATATATATATATATATAGTTAGTT